CGGGGAGCCTGCTTCTCCCTCTCCCACTCCCCCTGCTTGTGTTCCCTCTCTCGCTGTGTCTCTCTCTGTCAAATAAATAAATAAAATCTTTAAAAAATAAAATAAAATAAAATGTTTACTTTTTAGAGTGGATAGTATTATGAAGAAATTTTGGTGCCTGTTATACATATTTAAATGTAAATAATAAGTAGAACCTCATCTGTATCTTTTTTAAGATCTAGACTGCTCTGATGGAGGTTCTGATACTGGCTCCCGTTTTGGTTCCCGCTGTTTTCCTAGCCGTGCTGCACACCCTCTGTTAAGGCTCGGGCTTTACCTCCGTTTTCCACCCCAGCCTCCACTTTCATCCCGGTGTTCTATTTCTGACTAGAACTTGGTCCACAGTGTCAGTCTAGGCATGGCCATGCTTCTGCTTTCAACACAAGCCTGTGCCAAAAACCGTGTGGGGAATCCAGAGAGCTGGAAGGATAGAGGATGTAAAATTAAAATTACTTGTGTGTATTCCCACATGTGTGTAGCTGTTTACCCTATAAACTAAAATTAGTTTTTAAACTTTAAGCTGAAACTGTTTTTTGAAAGGATTTAAATAGTTGATATTTATGTAAATATCTGTAATTTTGCTTTTAGTTCTAATGGTTTTACACTTTTTTTTAAAGGTGGTTTGTCCTGATTGTAGTGATGAAATTGCTGTGAAAAAAGACAATATTCTTGTTCGATCTTTCAAAGATGGCAAATTGTAAGTATGATTCACTAGGGATGAAAAGTATGCTGTTTTTCCATGTTAGGAAGATAAATGATAAATTAGTTTTTTCTAATGACTTATGCTTTTACTTTTCATCATACAGAATGTTTTAAACGAAGTATGATCTTTTTCATATTATCATTTAAGTGATCTTATAGTCTGCTTTCCTTGTTCATTTGGGTTTTTTTTTTTAAACTCCCAGAGTTTCTAGACTCTCAGTATTACCTAGTTTATCAGTATTTGCCTGTATAGTAGCTGGTGATTTGTTGAGGCAAATTTAGATCTATCTACTATAATACTTGATTGCTATATTTATTGATGTGTTTATTATTCTGGAATGTTTAGTTGGGCTCTAATATTTTTAGTTCTGTCCACTGGTTATACTGATACCTGTTGTATAACATTTGACTTCTGCAGTTCTAAGGGTTAAAATGGATTACTATAAATGTATGTTAAGTGTTCAAGTGATTTTTCCTATAGAACTTTTTTGGAACTGAGTTACGGATTTTTGTGGGGTTTTTTTGTTTTGTTTTGTTTTTTAGAATTGTGCGACTAGAAAAGTCATATATTTTTACTTTGCCTTATTCCGTGTCTATACCTTAAAATGATCATGTTTGGGTTTTCCGGTTCTGAAAAGTGATTTTTAAAAACAATCTATGAAATCCACTTTAACAAAACTGAGATAATCAGAAATTTGAACACTGAAATTGAATACTGGTTGGATGATAGTAAGAAATTACTGTTAATTTTTAAACGTGTAGTAATGGTATTTGTTATGATTTTTAAAAAGACTTCTTTCAAACCTTCATAATGAAGTATATTATAAATCAAATTATATAGTATCTGGGATTTGCTGCAAAATAATCCACGAGGGAAGTATAGGGATATAAATGAAACAGTGACTATGAGTTCATGATTATTGTAGTTGGGTAATGGGTATGTGGTGGTTCATTGCGCTATTCTATTTCCTTTTGTATGTATTTGAAATTTTTAAAATAAAAAGTTAAAAAAATAGGCAGGTTGAAAAATGTATTTGGAATGGTTTTCAGGCTTTTGTAGATTGATTGATGTAAGCCAAATGCAGAAGAGCTGAATGATGTAGAACAATGATTTATTATTGTAAAATAGGAGGTATGTGTGATATATATGATAGAAACCCTCCCAGTTGCTTGCATCTGACCCCCTCCCTATGGTTGGAGAGTTCCATGAAGGATCTTAAATTATATATTAGAAGTTTGCTTGTGAGCCTAGAATCCAGTTTAAAAACAGTTATTAGAAGAACATTTATATTATAAACAAGTACATTTTCTTCCAGTCTTAAATTTAGTAATCTCTTGTGATTATCCCAAGATAATGGCAAATTCTTACTATTTGACTTCTTTTTTATTGGATTGATCCTGCTCTCCAAATATTTTCATTTATTATTATTTTGGATAGCAGGATCAATATTTTCCTTATTGCCTTTAGCCAGGGACTCTTTGATATTTGAGAATACCTCGTAAAACATCTCTCAAGGAGGGGTCGTTCTGTAGATGATTACATATTTTAATATCCTGCCTAGCATTTCATTTGGGAATTGCAACACTGTGCAGTCACTTTCATTGTAAATGTTAATGTTTCCATATTTTCAGTATCTTTCTGTGGTGTGTAATTGGACTCTTAATCTCTGTTTTGTTTTTGTGGCTTTTTTTTTTCTTTAAAATAAAAAAAAAAAATAATGTAGTACTTCAGTGCCAAGAAAGGATGTCCATGAAATTACTAGTGACACTGCACCAAAGCCTGATGCTATATTAAAACAAGGTAAGGATAATCTTGGAATAATTTATGGTTAATTTAAAAACTGCTGAAGTGTTTTTGAAGATCAAACTTTCTTTTGCTTTTTAAAAAAATACATATTTTTGAAGTTCTGTCTTTGAAGTTCCATTTGGTTCTGTGTGAATTATACTTTTGTAAATCTGTGTGTCTTTTGCTATTATGGGGCTGCTTTTTCTTTTTTAGCTTATAATCAGGGGCAGTAATCTAAGAGTGGGAAGGAACTAGATCATCAGCCAGTTACCATAGACTTGCTTTGCCTAGTAAATAGAATATTTAGTTCCTGAGGATGGTAGAAACAGGAATCAAAAGTAATTTTGGGGGCGCCTGGGTGGCTCAGTCGGCTAAGTGGCTGCCTTCGGCTCAGGTCATGATCCCAGGATCCTGGGATCGAGCCCCACATCGGGCTCCCCACTCAGCGGGAAGCCTGCTTCTCCTTCTCCCTCTGCCTGCCACTCTGCCTACTTGTGCTGTCTCTCTATCTGTCAAATAATAAGTAAAATCTTTTTTAAAAAAAAAAAAAGTAATTTTGATTTGGCATTTCTCATAGTATAACAATAGTTATATTTTATTGAGGAATATGCCGTAATTGCCTTTCTTACTTGATTTTTGGCATTGTAGACAACTTTCTTATTGCCCAGGTTCATCAAATCTGATAATATGCTATGTAGACTAGTTAAAAATCACCAAGAATTTGTGGCTTAGAGTTCATGTCCATGTATTGTAAAACAAAAATAATTGTCTCACCAATTTTGGTTTAAGCTAATTATTAATATAATTTTAATTCATGTTTTATTAGGAATGAAGATAACATATCTATAGTACATTTTCAGCTATTGTGTGTTCAATACAGTGGCTCTGTGCTTGATATATAATGCTGTTTAATAGTCATTTGTTGGACCAATGATCAGAAATTTACCTGTCTTAAAGTTGTTTATACTAGGCATGTTTAATTTTTGTTTAAAAGAAGAAAACTGCTCTTTTCGTTTGTATTTGTTTGAACCTAAGTCACCTTCTAATAGCAGTAGTTTGCCATCTATAAATTGGGTCCCGATGCTTAGGACTGCTGGGTTTTAAATGAGTCGCTACAAAACAGTGCCTGGCACACAGCAAACACTTGATAAATGTCTGTGCTTTTAGCACAGTGGTTAATTTTTTATCTTGTTTAATGTTATTAGACAAATCAGTTGTCTTAATTTCTCCAGTTCACATAGTTTTTGGTCCTCTCTGCAGCCTTCGATCAGGCCCTTGAGTTTCATAAAAGTAGAACTATTCCTGCTAACTGGAAGACTGAACTGAAGGAAGATAGTTCTAGCAGTGAGGCGGAGGAAGAAGAGGAGGAGGAAGATGATGAAAAGGAAAAGGAGGATAATAGCAGTGAAGAAGAGGTAAGGACAAACAGTTGATGTCTTTTAAAATTCAGAGTAACAGTTGGGTTTCCTCTGTGAGTTAGGATTTGGCACAAAGTCATCAATCACTTCAGTGTTTTTAGTATCAGAAATATTTCGTAATAAAAATGTGGTTGTGCTATCCATCATAACCAAGTAGTTTGCTTGCTTATTTAAAATAGAAATATGGTCTTGGGAAATTAAAAATATTAAGTATAGTTATTTCAGTAACCTCAGAAATGTTTCTTAATCTTGCCGTGCTTTTGGTTTATCAGATAATAAGGGAAATACCCACCTAATGTAGCAAAGTGCTGCTTTCAGCACTGCTTTCATCAGAGTGATGCTTTTCATCATTGTGTGGCCAGCCGTCACCTCCTACAGTGTTTTCATCTGCATATTTTATTAAAATACCTAGAGAAGTATAAAATATATCTTCTATCTAGTATTATTAAAAGAATAATCAGCAAAAAAGGATTAATATCTCTTTGATTGACAGAATCTTAAATAATTATATCTAATACAAATGGGTGGATAGTTCTAATTAGATCATAAATAAAGCATCTATGAATTTATATGGATCAAGGAAATAAAGTTTTAGATTACTGTAAATGGTACTTTAGGTCTAGCAATGATAAGTACCAAAAAAAGATGTCCATGATATTACTAGTGACATTGCACCACTGTACTTGTTAATGATACTTCCTAGAAGTTATTGGTGAATGGTGCAGATAGTGAAGGCTGTATATTTGACCACCAAGCAAATTGGACTGAATGTTTTCAGGAAACTAGTAAGTTAATGTCAATATGTAGTATTTTAGGTAAGTTATTAAATTCTGCCATCTAACTGTAATGAACAACTATTGATGAAATAGGATTGTTTTAGAGTTTATGTTTTATGACATAGTGCTTTATGATGACAGCGTGTAGTGTAAAAGTTTCTCGGCTTCAGTCTTCCCCACTGCTTTCTGTTTAAAATGCCAAAATGAACAAGCAATCCTTTGCTTAAAACCTCCCCAATAGCTTCTTAATCACCCTAAAAGTCAAGTTTCACTTATAGAACCTCATTTACAGTCCAGCCCCACCTTCATATCCCTTCTCTTGGCATCCCTTGCCACTTTGAACTTGATGCTGTAGCCATATTAAATTACATACCTTGTTTCTACTCAACCTGTACACATACCAGTACCTCTACCTATAGTGCCCTTCCCTGTTCTCCCCCACTTAGCCTGGCAAACTCCTATTCAGTTTTCAGAACCTTACTAACATGTCACCTCTGTAAAGGGAAGCCATCTGTGAAGTATCACCTCCTTCACCCAAGGAAAGTCAATCACTCCATTTGCTAATCTAACCTGATATCGTTTCTTGTGCATGTTTTTGTTATTTAAAACCCCCACCCACACTTACTGTCTGTTTTCTCCCCTATAAGCTCCTCAAGGGTAAAGGACCCTGTGTTAACTTGATAGTGTCTGTCAGAAGGTATAACATGTAAATAAATGAGGGTCTATAAATATTAGTTACTAAAATTTTTGTTGCTTAGATTTGTGTTCTATAAAAGTTTTTGTAAAAGCAAATCTGGTTTCTAGTTTAAACATTTTCTTAAGTTAAATACAAACCTCACTGAAAGATTTTTGTGACAGGAATACATTTGGCAGTTTATGAAAGTCAAATATTGTATTGGGGCATTTAAGATAGTATCTTAGATTTCTATCTGATTACTTTACCAAAGCCTAGCTCTGTGGACCATGTTTAAATTGAGAAGTGCAGTGTTTTGTTTTTTTTTTAATAAACAAATTAATAATTGTCATTTATTCTTCTCTGCTCAACCAGCAGACGTAAAGGTTTATCAACATGGATTTTGTTTCTGGTTTTTAACTTGCCTTCCTTCGCTCTGCTAGCTTTTGAAATAAAGGGGTAAATGTCAAAACAGTGGCATTAGACAGAGGATTTTTAAAATTAAAATGATAGAGTTATTTAGACTATCAATTGAAAAGTATGCTCTTAAGTTTTACCATCAGAGATACATTTGTTTCAGCCAGAGTAACTGTAAGATGTGGATTTTGTATCACTTTCTCTGCAGTTACTCCTGATCATGTTCTCTAATGGAAGGCTCGATCGCTTATTTTTCTTTTATTTGATTCAGCACCTAGCATAGTGCCTACACTTACTGGTGCTCATTAAGTGGTTTGTTGAATGGATGATAGTCACTGAATTGATGAGTTCCTCCATCTCACCTACTACCCTGCTCCTTGCAGGTTGCTTCAGGACCAGCTCCCTACTGCCACAGCCCCTGGCCACAGCAGCAAGAACCTAGTCCCTCCCTTGTAATTGATAAATCGGGGAACTATTTTATTACTTGAAGATTTCCCTAAGTCTGAATCTTCAGGTATTGTAGATCAAGTTTGTTCCCCACTTTACTGATTTTCTAAGCTTGAAGTGCTATACAGTGGGGCTGTATATAATGAAGGATACTTGTAGTTAGAGCTAAGGGGACCCACACCTGTATAGTTCTGGAGGAGCAACAAGAGAGTCAGTTTTGGTGTTAAACCCTGACCCAATTTAATATAAGTGAGAGTAGGTCTTCTTGAGCCTGTGGCCCTGATTTAAAGAATAGATATCTGATATGATAAAAAGCTCATGAGCCATCTTGCTAAGTCTCATTTCTTGTATGAGAATTTACATTTGGAATTGTTACTGTTGAGATACCTTTTAGGACATATTCCTTTGGAAAGCATAAAATGTCTAGACTTGCCTGGTTTTGAACAGCTTAGTGTTAAGAAATAATTTTTACTTGGTAAAACAAGCCTTTGAAATATTTTAGTGAATATTAGTCTCTGCTGTTGGTAGGAAATCTTATATTATTAAAATGCTTCCTTGAGGAAAATAATACTCTCTTCTTCTGTGACCAAAATTAGGAAGAAATAGAACCATTTCCAGAAGAAAGGGAGAACTTTCTTCAGCAGTTATACAAATTTATGGAGGATAGAGGTGAGTTTTTTTTTATTCATGATTAGTATTATAATGTATCATACAGTTAATTAATACTTTAAGAATTCTGTTCATTAAGCTTCATGTCATGTAGTAATCATGGCCCTCTTCTTGATTGCCAGCGTCACCAGCACCTAGCATCATACCTGTCATATAGTAAATGGAATGAGGACTTTGACAGTATTCTGATGGATATTATGGCCATGGACCCATATGGCCTGATTTCTGTCCTGGTCTGGCCACCCATCCATGGGTCCCCAAAGAATGCTTAATACTAGGGAGCAGTAGCAGAATGAGAATCATAGTACCATTTTATTTGTACCTACACAGGTGCTTTTATGTTAAAAGCCTCCCTCTCCAGAATCACTATTTGATATACCTAGGATGTATCTTTGTGTATGTGTGTGTGTGTCTGTGTTATGTGTACATGTGAGTGAGAGAGGGAGGGAGGGAGAGAGACCTCATACTCTAAGATGCCATAAGTCTTCTTGTGACCCAGCCACACAGAACTAAGCAGAGAATTAAACCATCCAAAGAGAGTTAGACGTAGAGAAAGGTGACAGAGTCTCAAGGTAAGCCTTGGCTTAGCTGTTTGAATCTGCCTAATGTTGTTAAAGAAATGCAAGGATTGAGGGAAAGGGATATGGGTGCTAACCTTTAATTTACGGTAGTGACCTAGTCCTCTAGTAACTATGGCCCTGTTACTCTGTTGCTTATCTGCTCTTCAAGGAGAGTATAGTGTCTCCTTTCCTGGGAAGATGCTAGAAAGGGAGTGGGGAGAGGCAGAAAGCTTTTTAGCTTGAGGAGAAGGACAAAATGAATGAATAATATTTGGAAGTACCACTGTACCCTTGGAATTAATTTTCTTGTGGGATGGGAATTAATATTTTTTAAATCCTCATTTGTATTGCTGATTAAGTAGAAGGTGGCTTGGTTTGTCTTTTGCTCTCATAAGTGATAGTGGCTACTGTAATGTAGGTATCTTTTTATTGTTTGATATGAAATGTCTTTGCTTTCTGCCTTATTTCTTTGTGTGAAAGGAGGCTTGGCCTAAGAAGGTAAGCAATTTCTTAGGCTTTTATATAAGATAAATAAAAAAGAAAATTTAAAAAGCTAATACTAGAAAGAGTGATAAAATATGACCGTGCCAGTCATAGGTTGTTTTGAAAGGGCCACAGTTGCATCTCCATCCCATTATTTCCTCTACCAGTTTCTGATGGTTTGGTAGTTTTAGTGTCCTTGCCTTGCATGGTCCACATTAGAAAGAAACAAAACCAGGGGTGCCTGGGTGGCTCAGTCGATTGAGTGTCTGACTCTTGGTTTTGGCTCAGGTCATGATCTCATGAGTCGTGAAATGCAGCCCCATGTTGGGCTCTGTGCTCAGCAGGGAGTGTGCTTGGGATTCTCTCTCTCCCTCTGCCCCTGATGACCCCCCCCTCCCCGCGCACTCTTTCAAATAAATAAATACCTTTAGAAAGAAACAAAACCATATAGTCTTACCCTGGAATCATTGTTTAGACTAGTCACCAGTTAATAACATACAAAGAAAGTATCATGAAAATCACTCTCATTGTGAAGCAGTTGCCCGTTAATTATCTTAGCCCTTTCTTCAGTTCTACTAAACCTTGTTTCCTTGATTTAAAAAAATTTTGTTCTGTTGGTATTTTATTTTGGTTTATCGGCTATTTACTCTTTTGCTCATTAGGGAAATGAAAATTGAGTGAAATCATATAAGGTTTTGAAAATCTGGTAGGAGAAATTTTTAAAAATGAAATGGGCTTAAGTAGACATCATGTTTTTGATTAACAAGGGATTTGTTTTCTCATATATATACACCTTGCACTATATATAGTCAGATATTCAGTGGTGATATCTGAATCTTTTGTAATTTTAAATAAAAAATGTAGCATGGTTATAATATATTTTGTATTTTCTTTAATAGGCACACCTATTAACAAACGGCCTGTACTTGGATATCGAAATTTGAATCTCTTTAAGTTATTCAGACTTGTACACAAGCTTGGAGGATTTGATAATGTAAGTATTACAGTTAGAAATGAAACATGTTTTTTCATACATGTTTTCTTATCTAAAAATTACCTAGAACTGTATACTAATAAAAACTTAAGAGTAGAAGGAAAAGAAAATGGAAAGCACAAGTTAGAAACAGGTAGCTTCCTTAGACCAAATTTAAATTCAATTAAGGATTTTTTCAAATGAACTTTCTGATTTACTGTTAAGTTTGTCAAACTTTCATAAACCACCTGTGTATGTCTGAGTCACAGCACAACCATATTGGTAGAAATTCCTTCTATGTTTCTTTTCCACTAGACTGTAAGGTCCTTGAGAGTTAATCTTCTTTATATCCTTTATCTCTTCCATTGTGTCTGACACACACACACACACACACACGTACATGCACATATGTATATGTAGAAACATGCAGAAAAATCATCGTTGAACTGAAGAAATTAACTTAAGGTCGCCATGATATATGGTGTCCATTCAATTAAGATTATTCTGGGGGGAAAAAGTATTCTGTAGATAAAATGTTTTACTAAGATCCTTAGAACTGCTTTGATTTATTAAGCTTACAGGTTTTATGGGAACTAATACATTACTTAAAGAATTTTATCTGTGTCTCTTCATTACAAATTTTGATTTAGAAACCTGAATATTTTCTTAGGTACTACTCTAGAGCTAATTTAAAAATCAAATGGCCTAATATTTCAACATTTGTAATTCTGAGATTTGTTAGAATACTAAAACTTACTTTAAAATATTGTTGTATACCAAATTTTTTATTTAGAATTTATTAAGCTAGTTATTTTTCATTCCTTTGAGACCAGAACCAACACATACAAACATATATATGCTGCATTAATCAAAATTTTATTATATTCCCACCTTTTACTTTGGGAGTTTTCATTTTACTTTGTCTGTTAGATTGAAAGTGGAGCTGTTTGGAAACAAGTCTACCAAGATCTTGGAATCCCCGTCTTAAATTCAGCTGCAGGATACAACGTTAAATGTGCTTATAAAAAGTAAGTCAGTGTACTTGATATACCTACATTCATTACTTTATCTAGAAAGCAGGTTAGAATTTACTGTATAACTGAGGCTAATTATTTCTTCTAAGAAGAAATCAGAAATTTTTACTAGACTAATCACTCTATAATAGCATTTTCTACAGTGTATTCTACGAATACTAGATCAAGGAGATATTCTCTGAAGAAAGTTTTTGTGGCCAAGTAAATTTGGAAAGTACTGTGTAGAAGTTAAAATGCCAAAGTGTTAAAAAGTCAAGGGTTGAATCCTGGTTCTGCCAGTTATTAGCTTTTGTGCCTCCAGGACCATTTCTTTATTCTCCTAAGCTTCAGTTTCCTCGTTTGTAAGATGGGATGTTAGTCCTTGCCTCGTTGGATTACTCTGATGATTAAATGAGATTTCATGTGAATGAAGAGGCCTAGTGCATGGCATGTAAGAAGTGCTCAACAGATTGATACTCTACTAATACCTTTAATAACTACTGTTGTTACATTACTCTATTTAACATTCTGACTATCTTTTCACTTTTAGTGTAGTTTTTTTTTAAAGATTTATTTATTTGAGGGGCGCCTGGGTGGCTCAGTCATCAAGCGTCTGCCTTCGGCTCGGGTCGTGGTCCCGGGGTCCTGGGACGGAGCCCCACATCGGGCTCCCTGCTCAGTGGGAAGCCTGCTTATTCCTCTCCCACTCCCCCCTGCTTGTGTTCCCTCTCTTGCTGTGTCTCTGTCAAATAAATAAATAAAATCTTTAAAAAAAAAAAAAAGATTTATTTGAGAGAGAGGGAGGGGGCTGGGCAGAGGGAGAGGAAGAGAGAGTCTTAGGAAGACTGCTGAGCATGGAGCCCAACACAGGGCTTGATCTCAGGACCCTGAGAACAAGACCTGTGCCAAAACCGAGTCGGATGCTCAACTGACGGCACTACCCAGGCGCCCCTAGTGTAGTTTTTTTAATGACTTTTTTTCTTTGAAAAATGTTTCTGTTTGGGTTAAAGAGATTGGGAAGAACTGAACTAGAATAAACGAGAGTATCTGAGAACTTAAAAGAACACATTTTAAAAACCATAACTCTACAGCAATATTTTGAAATGTTTTCCCAAATGTAATTTCTCTTCATGTTTCCAGATACTTATATGGTTTTGAGGAGTACTGTAGGTCGGCCAATATTGAATTTCAGATGGCATTGCCGGAGAAAGTTGTTAACAAGCCATGTAAAGAGTGTGAAAATGTAAAAGAAATAAAAGTTAAGGAAGAAATTGAACCAGAAATCAAAGAAATAAAGATTGAAGAGGAGGAGAACATAATACCAAAAGAAGAAAAACCTACTGATGATGATACTGAAAGAAAGGAAAATATTAAACCCTCTCTGGTAAATCAGATACTGTTAATAGTGTTATGCCTTCTTTGATATATTTTCTACCTAGTCTGTAAAGTTTTCATAGCTAATTTATCATAAAATGTTATACTTTATTTTTTGTGCTTTTTCTTCATTAAGTGCTATTTTTGTATTTAAAATTAGTTGTTAGCTATTTTTTCTTAGTGTTTTAGGAATGGCAGGAGTTTCTTAAAGTAACTACTACCTTTCTCAATATTAGTATTGGTTGGCACTTCCTTTTGCTAACAGTTAGATCATGAAATTAGGTTGACAGTGTATACTTTTGTTGGTTTAGTTCCTCTGATCTTTTTCTAGGGAAGTAAAAAGAATTTATTAGACTCTATACCTACACAGTCTGATCAGGAAAAAGAAGTTAACATGAAAAAAACAGAAGAAAATGAAAATCTGGAGGATAAAGATGAGGAGACAACTGGGGTAGATGAATCCCTCAGCATAAAGGTAGAAGCTGAAGAAGAAAAAGCAAAATCTGGGTAAGAAATTTGTTTTTGGTTAAGATGCATTTTGGCTGAATGAATTCTAGTAATTTGCTTTTTGTTTGTGTGTGCATGTTTGAATCTAAATTTGACAAAATACAGGATTATTGAGTGGTTTGCATTTATTATGTAAGTAACATTTGCCTCCTTCAGAGACCCCGCTAAATGCTACTTTGTAGCAAAAGGTCATATTTTTGATCCATTCTTCTTGCTCTCATCATGGAAATTTATGAAATTTTGAGCTAGAGAAAAAGTACTTCTTACCACATTAAGCTCTTCTGAATAACTAGATAATATAAATTTGGGAAGATGGCTTTCTGTAATGTTTTGTAGATGGAATGTTGGCTCTAGATTTTAAGAGTTGTACTAATTTCTTAAGCAAAAAATAAGAATGGAAAAGTGCTAATAATTAGTTTTCAAAAGGCCAAAATTGTTATATTGTGTTTAATGTGACAGTAGCAATTTCTTGTTTTGGTCAGTTTGGAATGATGAACTTATTTATTTAGCAATGTAATTTATGCGCTGCCAGTGAACCCCTGGATTTTGTAGGTGATTTTTGGCATCTGGTCTTATTTCTGAGATTTAAACAACCTAAACATCTCCATTGTTAATGGTCCATTTAAATAAGTACAACCAAATGTTTTTGATCATTTTAGTATTTTTCTGAAATTTGGCCACAGCATGCAGACAAGCAGGGAAGGGAAGCAAAATATGCTTCCTGAATATAGTGAAAGGTGTTTGTTTAGTATACTTTGTTATATATCTTTGTACAAATGTGTATATCGAGTACTCCTTACTGCTATTGGAGATTATCTCAGCTGTTAAGAAACTTAGTAAGTACTTAGCTTTTTGCCTAAAATCTTTTGATCATTTTAGTGTCCTCTGAAATTTTGGTTGTAGCATGCAGATAAACATGGAAGGAAAACCTGGGTTTAGATAAATACAGTATAAGTGTTTTCTCATTATACTTGGTGTTGTAGTCCTGTGTGCACGTGTATATTTGAAGTACTCATATCTGCTACTGGAGACTATTTCAACTCTTAAGAAACTTAGTAAGGAATCAGCTTTTTGCCTAAAAATCTGATTTTCATATCTGCATGTATTTCTGGAGTATCTACTGTGTGGGAGGCACTGTGATAAGCCTGTATTTTCTTTTTGTTACTAGTAATTAATTTTTCAAGTTGGTATTTCAGCTGATTTTATAGTGTAAACTATATATTGTAGGTTTTAAAAAATTCCTTAACTATATAGCTTTTTAATTTACTATATATATTTATAAATGTTTCATACCACAAACTGAAATTTTCCTGCTGTGACTGCCCTAATTTGGTAGATGTTCTTCAGAAGTGTTGTGTGTTGGGAATGTCCAAGATTGATTTCTGAATTTTATTAGATAAGTGCAATAGAAAATTTTACAATTATAAAGAATCATATGTATTTCTCTAGCATGTAAACTTTCTCTAAGTAATTAGCTACTACCAAGAACTTTCCGTGTCCTTCTCTTATAGTCTAGGTATAGGAGATTAAATAAGTTAAATCAGGTAAAATGCCAGGTTCAGTGCCTGGCTCATAGTAGGTATTAATAAATTACAGGTTTAAAAAAAATTTGTTCCATTGTAAGGAGTGTGACATCAAAATGGGAAAATTTGGTATTTCTTTGTGAATTCAGATGAAAAATACTGATACATTTGGTTTCTCAAAATACAGTTCTTTAAACGATAAGTAACTGTGTGTGTGTGCGCGCGCACGCTCATGCACGTGCACAGGTGCAGCATGCATGTGGGTGTGAGTGAGTTATATATATAAATTTAATATTTAAAATCTGTATGCTGGTTACTTTTTATACTTTCAAAGGGTATCTTTGTTCTGTGTTCTATCTTGTTTAGTGCATTTACCTCTGATTTTTGCCACTGAATTACTAGAGGAAAGAGTAGAATATTTTATTTGGCTGATAGTAATTGTGTTGTTTGCTTTTTTATACTTTAGTATATTATTTAAGTGCTCTTCATTTGGTTTGTGTCTGAGGTTGATATTCAATGCAAAATTTTATTTTTAATTTTTGATTGCTTTATTATTACAGAGTATTAGGGTTTTATTCCAGATTAAAGATTGCCCTGGCTGCTACTTGAAGTAGGATTGTGCTTGCTATTATTGGCATTTACCAGTTGTGCTCAGTGCACTGTATAATGTAAGACCTAGTTTAGAGTTTGTTTTCATTTAAAAATATCTTAGACGTTTTATTCTATATCTCTCTTTTCCCAATATATGATGATTCTGAGGTACATGATAAATCTCTTCAGTGCATAGTAAATTGCTTCTTTTGTTGTGGCCACTAAAATACACTTCCTTTTCTCTCTGATATGCAGAGCTATAAGTTTATGATTTAAACAAGTAATATTCTTCCCCAAAAAAATGTCTTAAGCATTTTAATTTATATATATATAAACATTTATTTATTTAAAATTGTTAATAATAGTTTATCATCCATAATACCCTTTCTGGTAATTTTCTAGATATTTTAGCCTTGCTAATAATTATTTCTTCATTATAGACATGTTAATGTATTTTTAATAATAGAGTTCCTATTTTTACCTCAGATTATAGCTGGTTTTGTTTAGGTCTTAATTTTTAAGTACCTATTCATTTGAATATAAATGAGTCTTTAAAAATAGAAATAATTCTTGAGATTCTGTAGACTTTGTGATGTATTTCAGAGAAAACTGATGTATTTGTTACTTCTGTAAACTTAGACTTAATTTCACAAGACTATTAGGTTTCCTTTCATCCCTCCTGGCTCACTATGTAGAAGCATAGGCGTAGAAGAATAAAAAATCATTATAGTGTTGCTTATGTTACTATAGATTATTTTTGTTGCTTACACAACTGCATAATTAGGAATGATAATAAAGTATGTTATTGCTAAAAAGTTTGCATAGAAGAATATAAAACCAATTATCAGTGGAGAAAGCATTTTATATAAATATTAATCAACTTTTAAAGCGTAATTACTTAGCTATCTTGTGGTTCTGTTTTATGATCTTTGTCAGCTCTAAAGTGATGGATTCTTTTTGAGAGAAAAATTGTAAAAAGTATAGACATAGTTTTTATACTGTACAGCAGATAAAAGAACTGAATATAGTTGAATTTCATTTTGAAGTTTTTTAAAAATAAATCTAGTGTTTGGAAAGATTTATAATTTAAGATTTTCTCCAACTTGTTTAATACAGATTTGTGGCTAATATAAAATGAATGTGAATGCTCAATTTTAAAAAGTGCACAATATTGAGAAGATTGAAATGGTCGCAGTGCTGCTTCTAGAATGATTTGACTTTTAGTTTGATATTACTTGGACTTGGCCTTATATACATATTTCATTGGAACTTCAAAGTTGAGAGAATTGGTAGAAGACTTTCAGTAAATATACGGTAAAGAAAGCAGAAATTGTAGCAAAGTTTAGAAGAATAGAAAGAAAAAACTTGATGTGATATTGATGTGAAATTAATCAGATATTCCCATGAAAGGTAAAATAATATTTCAGTTAGCATAACTTTTGAAATTTTGGTTGGAGCACCTTTTGAACTCAGTAAGACTAGCTGTTGGCTAGTAAAAGTTTTGTTTTAAACAACATGAGGCTGGAAAATTTGAATAAAAATAACTTTTAGTCTGAAAATGGCTCTCAGGTGTAATGATTTTTGTTTTTGTCAACACTTTTGTATAAAACATTTTTATAATAAAACATGAAAAAGTTGTTACAGTCGACCTTACTAGTTTCTTATACAACTTCTGTTCTGGCTGCTGGAAATTTTCTTTTAATGCATTTTTCAATCTTCATTTTCTCTAAATTTATCTTTCTGTAACCATGGTCATCTTATACAGTTTTAGTTTTTAACGTTACGTTGAAACTCAGAATTTCATACACATGGAACCTGCTGTTCCCGGAGCAGTCACAGCCACGATTTTTATCATTTTATGTGGTTTGGAACTGAAAAGCTTATGAGGTGTCTTTTATTAACTGCAATTTTTTAAACCTTTCAAGAGATGAAACGAATAAAGAGGAAGATGAAGATGATGAAGAAGCAGAAGAGGAGGAGGAGGAGGAGGAAGAGGATGAAGAGGATGATGACAACAATGAGGAAGAGGAGTTTGAATGCTATCCACCAGGCATGAAAGTCCAAGTGCGGTATGGACGAGGGAAAAATCAAAAAATGTATGAAGCTAGTATTAAAGATTCTGATGTCGAAGGTGGAGAGGTCCTTTACTTGGTGCATTACTGCGGATGGAATGTGAGGTAACTTGAGTTTTAGCTAGTGATTACTACCTAAAAACACTTATAAAATAATTTTCTATTTTAAAATTGAATTAACGAATTACAGACTTGTCAGTATTCTAATTGAGGTCATAGTAAAAAAAATGTAGATTTTAGCATGTAAATGCCTCACGTAGTGACTTCCTACTTACTGTTTTTAATACTTACAAGATATCCTTAGTGTCTAGAAAACTGAAATCTATCCAGTTGATTTTTGTGTTATACATGTAGATTAACAGAGGCAACATTGGTGAAATTATAGAAAAATCTTTTTTAAAGTTAAAAGAGTTTTGAGCTTCTTGATGTCTGCAGGTTACTACTAGGGTTCTTGCTCTCTTGCATTTTCAACTACATTGCCACAATAACCTCTTCTTTGTAATCTTAAGTCATCCAGTAGGCAGGGATTTTAAAGTTGTGATTTCTTAAGAAGCTTTAGCCATTTTAAGAGGGCCTTTATTTCCTCATTAACAGCTCTTGCGTTACAGCCTTCTTCAGAAGCCTCAGAAATTTGTCTATTTGAGACAATATGGTGGAAGTGTAAGCAAGTCTGCTTGACTAAAATAGAGTGCACTTTCTGACTGCTGCTAACCCTAGGGGGATGAAAGGGAAGACTAAGGTTTGGTTTTAGGTTGTGTTCAATGACTTAAGTTCTTTTCTAACACAAGTTTTCTTTGGTTTATCCAGAGATTTTGTATTTGAATTTTATCCAAAATTGGCAAGCCCGTTTTAGGATCTGGTCATTTAGAGGATCTTTTAAGAAAAACTTAGTTCATTTTGGAATATTTGATATTATATTTGAAATACAGCCAATGATAGGGTTGTTGCCCTTGAAAAGTTCACCATAGAAGTTTTTTTAAGTGGTGGTTTCAAGGTGTGCGTAGTGTCTTCAAGGAGGAATATAGTTCCCATGCTTTTTATTTAAATTGTATTCTGTGATTTGGAAAGTTATTAAGAAAACATCATCTCAAATGCTGTTTCTTAAAAAAAAAACTGTAGTCTCTGTTTCTTAAAAGTCCATTTTGTGTCGTCCTGTTGTGGCAATAGGAAGCTCTAGGAAGCATGGCTAATCTGATTACCTTCCTTATTTAGAAAAAAGTACAATTCTGATCCATTCTGAAGCTTGGAAGAAAATAACAATTTAAGTCATAAGGAAATGTTCAGAAGTTTTGTTTGGGACCCGTTCTTTATTATTTCTGACCAGCAAGATAAAGTTTTGGATTTTAAGAATGCTGTTATCCTAAGTATTGTCCTGAAACATAAGCTTTTCCAGAGAATCAGTTTCAACATCATGTGTAATTTACCCTTTTGTTTGTTGGCTCTTATGCTACCTCTGTGTGCATGATTTTCCTCACCTGAAGGGCTGGCTGTTACTGATCATGTTCAAAGGAAGATACTTGAGATCTCAGATATAGCTGCTCTAAGAATATTTTGCCCAGTCTTTGATATTTAATCATTTTGATATTACTAAATGATCTTATTAATATAAATGTAGAAGGAATTCCATTTATGCCTAGGATGTAACTGTAAATGTTGAATATGTTAGCTTAAAATTAGGAAGGAAAAAAATTGAATCAGGAAAAATTAATAATTACTGAGTAACACCCACAGGATAGATAAGAGCCACATCATCTTTTACCTCTCCTTGAGTTCTTCAGTCCTAGTTATTCTGCTGGTTTATATAATGAGGCAGTTTTTCTAGTGGCCTTTATTAAATGCTTTAAATTGTGTGACTGGTAGAATTTAGGTGTTCTCCAACTTGCAGTATTATCGGGGCTTGATTATTTTCTATTATCTCATTAAACAGAGAGGAGGCCTGGTAGGTGAAAGAATTGAGACATTCATGAAATTATTCTGCAAGGAAGATATACAACTTTCTGTTTGTTAAGAAAAGATGGATTAAAGGCGAGAGTTATCTTATCCTAGGAACACTTGGATTTTAGAGGGTAGAAAGAGAATGTCGGTATTTTAGCTTTGAAACTGCTAGGGGGTTGGGTAGGGTAAGGGAAGACTTTGAATTGAGGCCTTCAAGTTTTTAATAATAGAGAAAAGAAAATGAAACCTAGTTCAACAAGACAAGCTTATGTTACTGAGAAGGATGCCATCTACTCCTCACACCTCAAGCGTTTGTATGGTCTGAACTTTCAAAAGAAGAAAACTAACCAACTTGATGAAGACCTGTAGAGTGGATCTCTCCACACTCCAGCATCATAGAGAGGACTGTACTTCTGTAGATTAGCAGTTAATTTCCTTTGAGTCAGTAGAACAGTACTCCTGTTTCTCTCTGAAGCTAATCTAATGGGGACTGCAACAAATGCTCACCAGTTCTACAACAAGTTTCCTATTATTCCGGTGATCTTCAGCTTGATCTTTGAATTTACACTTAAGAGACGTGAAATTAGAAATGAAGATTTATGCACGAAAGTTCATGAAAATAGTTTTATCTTCAGTAGAAGTCATTCATTACTATAGCAATTTAGGAAATTTTATATGAAGCTATTTATGTGAGTTTTGTTTGATCCTGAAAGGTCACTTTCCTTCCAGTGAAGAAATTTTTCTTAAAGAAAATAAGAATATCTGTCTTAGTTTAAAAAATACTGTTTTTCTGGTAATTTCTACATTTTTCCTTTTTTCTAAAGTGCTGTGTAAACCTTTATATTGATATTTTTATTTGTACACCTATTTCACAATTGAAAATGTTAATTTTTACTACACAGAGGATAGTGTTTGGACCAATTTGCTTTTTACTACCACAACAGGAAAAAAAGGCTTACATCCAATTTTATGGAAAATAGCCAGAACTCTGGATCTTAAACCACATACTGGCTTATAAATGGTATAATGCTGCCATTATTTCAGATGAGGTGGTCGTATATCAAACTATTGTCCGACACAAGTAGGCTTGGCTAGATTGTCATGTGCTTGGAGAAAAGTCAGTGCTTTTTTTATAAATTGTTTTTAACTCTCCTAAAAATAACATTCAATCTAGAAAAATGGCAAAATATATAAAAGTAGAAAGACAACTATTAATGTTATAGTATGTTCTCTTTCAGTCTTTTAAAAAACATAGCTCATATGTTTTTAAAAATTATAATCCTACGGGGCGCCTGGGTGGCTCAGTCGTTAAGCGTCTGCCTTCGGCTCAGATCATGATCTCAGGGTCCTGGGATCGAGCCCCGCATCTGGCTCCCTGCTCTGCGGGAAGCCTGCTTCTCCCTCTCCCACTCCTCCTGCTTGTGTTCCCTCTCTCGCTGTGTCTCTTTCTTTTTTTTTTTTTTTTTTTTTTAAGATTTTTATTTTTTTATTGAGAGAGATAGTGATAGAGAGAGAGCATGAGAGGGGGAGAGGCAGAGGGAGAGGCAGACTCCCCGCTGAGCAGGGAGCCTGATGCGGGACTCGATCCCGGGACTCCAGGATCGTGACCTGAGCCGAAGGCAGTCGCTTAACCAACTGAGCCACCCAGGCGCCCCTCGCTGTGTCTCTTTCTGTCAAAAAATAAAATCTTTAAAAAAAAAAAAAATTATAATCCTACTTTAGTAATTTTTAATAGTAGCCTTTCTGTTTGTTTTCTCTTAGTGATGTTAATATTTTATAGAAGTTTTTAGTACCATTAGCTAATTGATCCCTTTCATTCTCAAGTTTCTAAGTCATGCCATAAATGTGGGAGTGATTTTTGAAAATAAAGTTACACTTTGAAATTCAACTGCTGTAATCTCTGTTGCACGTGTTGTGTTTACCCCCCGTTCAGTGATACAGCTAATTGTATTACACCTATCTAGACTGCTTGGCTTGGGACTTAAAATACATCAGTATTCTGTTATGTATTGAGGCTGATTTATTTTTCTTCATTTCTGGTTTGGCTTTCCATAATCAAGGGGTTGGGAATTTGATTTGGGGTTTTTTTAATATTGAGATTCATCAACTACGTTAAAAAGATACCCCCAAGTAAAAGAGAAAGGGAAAAGCAACACTGAAATTTCAACTGTAAAACTCCTAAGTAACAAGTTAGTTCTATTCCATATTATAAGTTATAGGAAACTGAAAATAAGATAAATTATACTTAAATATTTTACTTGAAATAAAAATGCATATTTTTATTTTATTTATTTTTTATTTATAAAAAAATGTTTAAAAAGTATTTTACCTCTCTAAGCAAATTGGCTCCTCCTTTGAGGGAATGGGGTGGGGGAAACTAGTCAAAAGCTTTCACAAATGGCTTCAAACCCACTTTGTGCTAACATTCAGCTGCTTTTTAACAAACATCTCTTCCTTTATTTGGCCTACAGAAGTTCAATATCATGTGCAAAATAATGCTTGGACTGAAGATAAAAAGAAGTGGTCCCTATTAAGGAATCGATTGTCCAGGCAAGGGAATTACCCCACCAGGATTTACACTCTCCCTCCCGAGGCTCTCAGCCCTCCTTTTGTGTTGCTTACCTTCAGTCACTCCTTATAATCATTTCTTTTGACCCACATGCTTTTCTGTCGCTCTTGTGTTGCTTTGTATTCCTTCCTTGACAAAACCACTAGAACGCTGCTTAAATCTCACGCTCTTACTCCTGGCCTGCATCTGTGCAGCTGATCCTGTCTGGAGAAAGCAAACAACCACGCTGACTTCTTTTAAATTCATGACTATGAACTTCAAGTGGTCATGATATGTCTCTCTTCCATTCACTCTCCTACTTTCTCAGAAGACTGTTTCATACTGTTTCTTATCTCTCCTCAAATGCCCAGCATCTTTTCCATCCTCATTTTCAGTTGGTGACCTTACTTTATAACCTCATTGAAAAATTGAAGTGAGAGGAGAATTTTGCACTTTCCACATCTGCCTTCTTACCTGCCTCTGCTGCCACATTCTCTGCCTCTTCCTCTTTAGTCATCTGTGAAAACAAGGATGCTACTATCTCAAGCCATTCTTCTAATTGTCATGCCTTCTTTCCTAAGTCAGAGACATGGGCCCAGAAATTTTCCCTTTTTTCCCTCTCTTTTGTCAGTTTCTCGCTCCGTTTTGAATCATCCACGTCTGGACCTGCAGTTATTTCTCCCATCTCAAAACTCACTTGAGCTTTACCTGCTTTTCCTACTGTGCCATTTCTTTGCTTCATTTCCATCCAGCAAAACTATGAGTTTACACTTGTCACCCAGTTTCTCTCCTGTTGTTTTGTGTAAACCCACTCCCAATAAGGCTTTTGCCCCTATCACACCTCCCTGTCATAAGCTGAATTCCATCCTTACTTCTTGACCTCTTGTTACTTGTCTCATCAGTGGTATTTGACCCAGCTGATTGCTCCTTCCATGATAATTTTCACTTGTGTTCTAGCTGCGACAGCGACAACTGTTTTTCTTGTTTATTTTCCTTTCTACCATCCCTCAATTATCCTCTTATTTCTTCTTGTGTTTTCTTCTTTGTAGTCGTGCTCTTCTTTTATCCTTCTGATATCCATTTTAGCTTCTTTTACATTCCATTCCTATTTTTCCAGTCCTAATTTGAGTCACTTTTCTGATACTGAATTTTTCCAAATTATTTTTTGGAGCTAAAGGGATTCGACCTTCTGGAATATAACTTACACCTAGGACTGTGGGCAGTTTGTTTTTTTTTTAATTGTTCAAGCTTTCTACATCAGGACCACATTACTTTCCAATACAAAAGTGCATTTAACTTTAAAACATGAAAAAAATCCCAATTCCATATTCATTCCTTTAGTATCCCTTACCACATCTAGAAAAGTACATGCCTGCATATGGTAAGTAGGAAACAAATACTGAACTAAATTGGACCTCCCAGCAACATAATAGAAGTAGAACAGAAGTTAAAGTCTAAATAAAAGGGACTGGTCTATAAAAATGACACCTATAGAATATAGAGACTGATGGGGGATTGGGACGGCTGTGGCCTGGCTCTCTCACTGGAGCCTCTTGATGCTTTTATATGTGGTAATTCTTTAACTCTCTGAGGATCTGTCCAACTGTTTTCCACAAAGGCTACACCATTTTACATTCTTGCCAGAATTGTATCAGGGTTCTGGTTTCTCCATACCCTCACCAACATTTGTTATTTTCTGTTTTTAAAAAATGTTTATTATAGCTAACCTAGTGGGTATCTCATTTGGTTTTGATTTGCATGTTTATAATGACTAGTGATATTGAGCATCTTTTCGTGTACTTATTGGCTATTTGTATGTCTTCCTTGGGGAAATGTCCATTCAAGCCCTTTGCCCATTTTTGAATTGTTTTTGTTGTTGAGTGGTAGGAGTTCTTCCTGTGTTCTGTATATTAATCCTTTCTCAAATATATAATTTGCAGATAGTTTCTCCCATTCTGTGAACCCGCAGAATTGTCTTTCACTCTCTTGATAGTGTCTTGATGTACAATAGTTTTAAATTTTGATAAAGTCCGAATTCATCTATTTTTTCTTTGTTGTCCATGCTTTTGGTGGTGTATCCTAGAAAATATCGCCAAATCCAGTGTTGTGAAAATTTCCCCATGTTTTCTTCTAAGAATTTTATAGTGTTAGCTCTAATACCTAAGTTTTTGACCCATTTTGAGTTAATTTTTATATGTAAATATGGTAGTCAGTTCTTTTTTATGATCTCTTTTTGTCATATGAAGAGCCCATCTCCTAATTAGTAACCAAAATGGGGTTGAGGGTGAGAGACTAGAATGAATCTGAATGGAAATACTCCTGCTCTGTGACTTTCCTTTGGCTCTGTCTCCTTTTGTTCCTTTAAGAATTTTTATGTCACTTCAGCCTAATTTCTCTATTCCTTCTGTTTGCAGAATGTTCAACGGCCTTACTTTTTTTTTCTTTTACTTCCACGTAATCTGATTCTTGTCATACTTTCATTATGTAAGCCGTTGGTCTTAGGAATGTTGATAAAAGAGTACAGAGTTGTTCTGTTCCTGTGCTTTGAAATGATTATTCTGGTAATGATAGAAAGAAAAGCAAAGTACTCTAGGAACTTTTCTGCTTTATTGCTATAGTACGGAAGTTAAAGAACTATAAATGAAGACCATTTGACGGTGGTTTCCAACTGAATATCTGCAAACTTGTTTTAGAGGGCGGGGAGGACACATTGCCCCTGTCTTTTTAACCAAGACTTTCAATTCCCTTTGCATGTTTTTCCTCCTGTGTCCCATTCATTTTTTTCTTTGTACCTCACTGTCATGTTTTCAAAACTCTCAACTTCCCCAACCCTCTGTCACAGTCTCCCATCTTACTCACTTTTTAGGATGGAAAACATACTAAATTAAAAAGTACTATGGCAGTCAAAGGACTGTGTTACCACTCATGTGAAAAATTCTTATGCAGTATGAAGATGCTTTGTATCAATACAGACAGTCCTACCTGTAGAGACAATTAAAGCAGTGAATAAAGTGAACATAATAATTTGTACTTTAAAAATACGACTTTTGAGGGGCGCCTGGGTGGCTCAGTCGTTGAGCGTCTGCCTTCGGCTCAGGTCATGATCCCAGCGTCCTGGGATCGAGTCCCACATCGGGCTCCCTGCTCGGGAGGAAGCCTGCTTCTCCCTCTCCCACTCCCCCTGCTTGTGTTCCTGCTCTCGCTCTCTCTCTCTCTGTGAAATAAATAAATAAAATCTTAAAAAAAAAAAATACGACTTTTGAGTCGACTGGTTTTTCAGTACAAGTGAATATAAATATTTCCTTCCTGAAAAAAGATTAGTAACTCGGGTATTTTTGCACTCAGATGGACTTTCTTTCTTTGTGTTTACTTAGAGTGTTTACTAAATTGAGCCTGTTCCATTCAGTAGTTTTTGTAAACTGACAGGTACATTTAATGTAAAACGTAAATGTGGACCTGTTCATTTGGTGGTTTTGTAGATGGGTAGGTCCATCAGTATATTTGTCTAACTGTGCATAAATACTAATCCCCTA